GGGAGGGAGATCCTTCTCTTCTCGTAAGGCCACCAGTCCTACTGGACTAGGGTCTACCCGAATGACCTGACCTTATTTAAACTTAATTACTTCTTTTTAGTTTGTTTGTTTTTAATCCTCACCCAAGGATATTTTCTATTTATCTTCAGACAGAGTGGGAGGGAGGGAGAGAGAGGGAGAGAGAAAAACATCTACGCAAGAGGGACACATCGAGTGGCTGCCTCCCGCACGACCCTGACCAGGGCCCGGGACGAACCGCCACCGAGGTACGTGCCCTTGATCGGAATTGAACCCACGACTCTTTGGTCTTGAGGCTGATGTTCTAACCGCTGTGCCAAACCAGCCGGGGCCCTTACTTACTTCTTTAAAGGCTCTGTCTCCAGATACAGTCACATTGGAGGTTAAGGCTTCAACATACAAATTTAAGGAGACCATAATTCAATCCACAGCATTTTCCATCCTTACAATACTCCATTTTCCTGCATTCTCTTCAATGCTTAGGTATTCCATTAATTTCCTAGGGCTGCTTTAACAAATTACTACGGATGTTGTGGCTTAAAAGAACAGAACTGCAGTGCCTCACAGTCCATGAGGTCAGAAGCCCAGGTCCGCATCACTGGGCTGCGGTCAAGCTGTCGGCAGGACTGCCCTCCTCCTCCAGCTCTAAGCTCCAAGGGAGAATTCTCCTTCTCTCTTCCAACTTGACTTTGGTCACATAGCACCAGTCTCTGCCTCTGCCGTTTGTTTGTTTCCTCCTCTTGTGTGTGCCAAATTTTCCTTTACCTCTCTCTTACAAGGACAACTGCACCTGCATTCAGGGACCACCTGGATAATCCGGGCTAACTCCCCACCTCAAGATCCTTAACTTAACTGGATGCTTTTTTCCAAATAAGGTAACATTTTTGGGTTGCAGGGATCAGGGACTGATATCTTTTGTTTTTAATTTATCTTTATTGTTGAAAGTATTATAGATGTTCCTGCTCCCCTGCCCATTGATCTCCTCTTCCCTGCCCCTACCCCCACCCCCTTCACTGCACTATTGTCTGCGTTCATTGTTTATACATGTGTGCATATAAGTTCTCTGATTTATCTCTTCCCTCTGAGGTTTGTCAGTCTGTTCCAAACTTCCATGTCTCTGGGTCTTTTTTGTTCGTCAGCTTATTTTGTTCATTATATTCCACAAATAAGTGAGGTCATGTGATACTTGTCTTTCTCTGACTGCCTTATTTTGCTTAGCATAATATTCTCCAGTTTCGTTCATGCCCTCTCAAGAGTAAGATAACTTTCTTTTTTGTAGCTGCATAGTATTCCATTGTGTAAGTGTACCACAGATTTTTTAAGGACCTGGTATCTTTGGGGATATGATGCAGCCTACCAGAGGTATATTGCTCATATGCTATCATACGATGTTATAATAGTGATGTCAACCTTTGAGAGGAGCCCTTGTCAGGAGGGGAAGAGACCCAGAGATGTCTTTCTTGGGCATGTCCAGGCCGGATCACACCCTCCAAACCATTCTCTGGACAGCTGGCTCCTTCCTCTCTTTTGACCTCCTCCTAGGACCTGAAGGGAAGGCTGAGGGCTGGGCAGCAGAGGGGTCTCCCTGCGAAGAAGACACTCGGATGGTCAGGGACAGGAGGAAAGGAGAATGTCCTTGATGCTTTCCTATTTCGTGGCTGGTTAAAGGGATGGGCACCTCACTCCTGGAAACCATTTCACCGGCAACCCTTTGTTTATTTCTGGCTGGAGCAATCTCCAGGAGTGGGGTCTTGGGTAGGAAGACTTCCTTCTCCTTCTCTTACACAACCAGGCCTGCCCGTCTGTGTCCTCCTATCACGTGAACCCTCATAGTCTGTTCTCTCAATGACCTAGAACACTATCGACGTTTCATATGCTTATCAAGTCCAGAGAGCCAACTGTATTGAAAACGAGCAATTTAAATCCACAGTGAAACCACCACTTTAAAAAGGAGGAGGAGAAGGGGTTACTGCAGAGGGAATCTTCACAACCAGTGCTTTATTTGGTCACAGGGGCCGTGGTCTGCTTCCAGGATGGGAGAACTTTATCGGATGCTAATCTAATATCTAAGATTGTGTTCGTCGGCTCTTCCTTCTTGCCATTTATGGTGAAAACTGTGAGGCGAGAGCACCATTGCCTCTTGTTTTTGGTCACATCCACTTTTATTTGCAACAGGAGCAGAGGTTAGCAGACCGTTAGCAATGTTCTTCCCCCACTCTTACCAATGATACGCTTACTTTGAAAGATATGCCTGAACATTACTGTTTGCTCTGAAAAATTCAACCTGCAGTAGAATGTTGTCTCGGGCTTTTCAAAGTTTTATGAGTTTCTGGAACATGATTATTTACCTTAGAATGCAGAAAAATTATTAGGAAGAAGACTTCAGGACAACATAATCTCTTCAAGGAAACGGTGTCACTCAGATGCCACTGTTAAGGGGAGAGGTGGTAGAGCTACAGGGAAGGTTAGGCAGAGATTTTAAAATATCAACATGTGGCTTAAAGCCATTAGTAAGGCCTTGACACCTTGTGGCCTGAAAGGAGATGGGAATCAAGTCAGTTACGGAGAGTTTGATATTAATCCTCTCCTGTACTATGTCATTTGTGTTGATTCAAATGTAGATTTGATCACAATGGTTGCATTTACTCCTCTGACACCAGGGAGATCAGCCAGCTATAACCTTTACTATCTCCTCTGGTGAAGACCACATTTGGTGACAGGTAAACCTCTTGGAAAAAACTCTCTCCCGCCCTGGCCGGTTTGGCTCAGCGGTTAGAGCGTCGACCTGCGGTCCGGAGAGACCCGGGTTCGGTTCCCGCTAAGGGCATGTGCCCCGGTTGCAGTTTGTCCCCGGCCCTGGTTGGTCGTGCGGGTGGCAGCCACTCGATGTGTCCCTTTCACATCGATGTTTCTCTCTCTCTCTCTCTCTTCCTCTCTCTCCCTCCCACTCTATCTGTGCAAAAAATGGGAAAAAATGTCCTCGGGTGAGGATAAATAATAAAAACAAACAAACAAAAAAAAACTCTCTCCCCACCCCCTCTTATTTTGGGTCCCTGGACAAATTTTGCATTAAGTGAACTAATTCTTCCTGCTTTTCCTGATCTCTCTTACTCTCTGTGCCTCCCTTGCCCCAGTCCTCTTGCTGGAGGCTTGTGCTTCTAGAGTAGACAGCTGGTAAGTGAGCTCACATCCCATTGCTGATGGCTTTAAAACACTGATACTCCTAGGAGTATTCTAAGGGGACTCCATGACTAGCATAATACCTTATCCAAAGGAATGCATCTCTAATGGTGGATTTTGGGTTCTGGGGCAGCTATACAGAGGAGAAACTGTTCTCGGCAGTTTTGTTTTTCCAGGGTCCCAATTCTTTCAGACCTGGGACTGAGGTTCTGCCTATTTCACTTATAAACATGGCTGGTCATAGGTATGGGACAACATCCTTTGGGAGTTTTAGTGTGCATTTATTGTGACTCATACTAAGGACAAAATTTTCCATGAATGTGGTACCTCAAGGAACTTTGTTCAAGACCCAAATGTAATGATCTTCCCACTTCTCACTGTGGGCATTTGCGGTGTCAACGTTGGGGCCTTTGTGCTTTTGTACTGAGATGACTGTTTTCCTGACGACCTTGTGGAGTAAGGGTCATCCTAAGACTGATGCGGTCTTCCCCGGAGGGTGAGCTGCCCAGAAGTCAGCCCTGGGAAGAAGCAGATCCTCGGATAGGAAACCGGAGGGGATTCTGCACCCCTCTGGGCTTCTGTTTTGCGAGTTTGGACTTCAAGGAGTTTGACAGGACAGAGCTGTTCGCTTCTACTTCAACGAGTTCGTTTTTCTACTCAGCTGAGACTCTCCTCTGACACTTGGACTTTGGGACTTTCTTTCATTTCCTGAGCTTTCTCCTTTAACCCTGGGAAGGCTCAATCAGAAACTACAAGCCAGCCAGGTGGGGTGAGAGGGGGCATGAGGAAAGACCTGGTGGGACAGCTGTCCCAGGTGCTCAGTCCGGGGACTGTAATATGAACCTGTTTTATCTGGTGCTAGTTCAGGAGATACTTACCCCTCTCACTTCTCCCATCACCATAAGAGACTTGCCCTGAACACCCACAGCCTCACTGTTGGTGTCCCGGCTGACTTTAGGGGGCAGCAAGGCACCCCTGAACATGCATGAGCTTTCACAACCTGGTGGCTTACTGACACACACTTCCGTTTTCTTCTATCCTCACCCGAGGACATGTTTGCATTTACCTTCAGATAGAGCGGGAGGGAGAGAGGGAGGGAGAGAGAGAGAAACATTGATGTAAGAGACACATCAACTGGCTGCCACCCACATGACCCCAACCGGGGCCGGGGACAAACTGCAACCTAGCGGGAACCGAACCCGGGCCTCTCTGGTCCGCGGGCTGATGCTCTAACCGCTGAGCCAAACCGGCCAGGGCTCACACACATTTCTGACCCTGGGAACCAGCCTCAGCAGTGTCTCCCTTCCACTGGGAGAGCCTTCTCAGGCACGGGCCCAATCCTTTCGGGCCTGGACGAGCATCTTCTACTTTGATCCCTGTTCCCGGACTGTTTTGAGTAGAAACCCTACCAGGATGTAGTGTATCCTTTTCTTTGCTCATAATCTTCTTCCCCCTGAGTATGCCCCTCCCTAAAAAGAATCTCACGAGTCCCCTGAGGTCCCTTTAGGGTTCTCCTCTTCCGTGAAGCCAGCACAAGTGTTTCCCGCCCAGAACTCAGCGCTTCCCCCCAGCCGGCCGTGAATCACACACGTGCTCATGACTTGCTCCCATAACCATTTTACGGTGAGGGTAATACCCACTTCACTTACTCAGACTTGCTAATTTTGATGCAGGGCAGATCTCTGTCTGCATGATGAGTCTCTGGAATATGAACTCTATTCTGCATCGTGGCTTTGATTTGGGCAGATGTTTTTATCTATCACCCATGTCAATATGCTTCCCATGAGGAAATCTGGCTGACCTTCAAAGGATGAAGATTACAGACCTCCCCTGGAAGCCAATGGAAGTGAATTCCCTATTGGATTTTTTTTTTTTTTAAAGTAAAAATGGGAGATAATGAAATACAGTGTAGTTGTAAAACAGATTTCATTGTGTTCTACATCACTTCATAAAAAAAGCATAGTTCCCATTCTTTCAAGACTTTCTTTGTAACATTGACTCCCTGATAACTCAAGTAAGAAATGTTTAGGCTGACTTCTTAATAAGCACTTGCTCGAAGAATACGGTGAAATGAAACCACTCTCAGATGGAAGGCTGGTTCATGAAACGCTGTGCCATCAGAATAAAGCATTTTGACATTCCAGGCATCGTCCGATGAAACAAACACGCAAAACACCTGTCAGGAAGACCATCTCCTTCTTTAGAAAACAAACGTATTGCTCAGCCAGAACCAATAAATTAAAGTGTGTGAATATAGTTTTGAGTATTGTGACATTCTTAGATTCTGTACAACCAAACACGCCAGGAGTCTACCCATCTGAGTCAATGGTAGCTTATCATTCAGCATCTGGAAATTTCTCATTTTGCTGGATCAGACTCCAAAGTATAGGAGGAGACACAGGGCAGCACCCAATAACCCTATTTACAGCTTATTGAAAATAACAATCAATCATTCATATTAGTCCGGTGAACTAATTCTAAAGTCTGAGAATCTTACTAGTACTAAATTTGGGACAAGGCTGATAACATAATTTCCAAAGGAGAAACTATTATTGGAGAGAAACCATAATATTTATTTATTCTATTGTTTATTTCACAGTAAAATTTTCTCTCTGGGTTCCACATTAGGAGGGTCAGAACCATCACCTAACATGTAATTTTTTGTCTGTTAATCCAGACTCATGAACTTCCTCTAGTCCATGACTTCCAATGTTTTGTGGGGAGACTTGAAAAGATACGGTACCTTTCAGTAACATAAAAGACGAATAGTAGAGTGATTCTAGAGCCCTTTTCTGTTCCATCAGGTTAGTCTTTGTGTGGACAGTGACTTTGACTCACCGAAATGTGATCCTTAATGACACTGTTTTCATGAAGAGCAAAGTACTCTGGTGTTTTTATCTTTTGAAGCAGATAATTTTAGGCAGAAATAATATATTTTGTCCTTTGCCCTTTGTTAAGTTTCTGCCCAGGGGAAAAAGAAAAACCACCCACAAGAAACCTGGCTACTGCAACACGAAGGGTCTCTACTTACACAAATTGCCGGCCTCTCTCCTGGTCCTTGGGTCACAGGTGGCTTGCCATTCTGAGTTTGCAAATAAAGTGCATCTTGATAAATGAGGTTAAAAGTAGAAAGACCACAGCCTGAGAGCACCAATTCAGCTCTCAGCAGGTGCCAGTCAAAGTGCCTTTTTGCAGGAGAGAAGCCACCAGCTCTGCACCTGCTCCCTGGGGCAGGGACCAGGTACTACTAGGGCTGCCACAGAACTGACTCAGCAAAATCATTCACAAGCCGGATGTGGCTTTGCTTCCTCTCTGATGGGGCGTGTTTGTTGCCTTCTCAACTGTACCTAACCTAACAGTAGAGACTGCGTCAAAGGGCTCAGATGAGGCCCTACTTAAAGGCCAAGTACCTGCAAGGACGCATTATCACTTGAATTCTTGCAAGCACACCCAATCCTGGCAGAACTGTTCTCCGTCACAGAGAGGGCAGAGGAAATGCAGGTATTCCTCATCGTTTCACCTAACAGTTCAGTCTTTTCCTTGAGGTCATGCTTCAGATGAAAAGTAAAATGAAAGAATGAATATAATCAATCATACTTAAGATGGGGAACATGTTGAGAGAGTCTGGCTAAAAATTATGAGCTATATCAGACTCATCCTTGGTCACAAGATTTCAAAGTGGCGGGGAAGTCTATTCAGAACTGGGCCCTGTGAATGGGGTGTCAGCAGAAAAGAACACTGAACATCATGGCACAGAAATACACCCGGGAAATTAAGGCAGGCACTCAACGCTCTAAGCCAACAGGGTTCCTCTTCTCCTTAGTCGTCCTGACTGTGGTGGTTCACCTGCGGTTCAAAGGCGATTTCAGATGATCAGATGACAGAACTGGAACAACTCCAAACCCGGTGAGAGAATCACTGAAGTATTTGGGAGAGGAAGTCATGTCGGGGCTGGAAATGCACGGTATTGTGTGCAAGGAATTGTCTTTGAGTGAAAAGGGGTGGTTAACAACAGGCAGGAATCAGTGTGTACATTTCCTGTTCCTGTTTGCCTAACTGACACCCTCAGGGCATCTCTGGCTCCTTGGAGGCCAAGTGCCCTTTGCTGCACTCTTTTTAGCCTCCTCAATTGTCTCTATGGCACCTGCCCATGGAAACACCTATGCTATAGGGCTGGGGTTGGGGTGTAAGGGTTTGCTGCAGAGTGTGTTAAAATAAGAGAGAAGAGTCACAGAAATGAGTTTTGAGAGGTTGGCATCAGTATTGACTTAAAAAAAAAAATTCTGATCTCATGTTTGTTTTTTCTAAAATTAAGGGTCCCTGTTTTGGGGGATTCTCAAACCTTTGGGAAATAAGCAAATTTACAGACTAGATGGAAATCACCTCTTACCTTGTTTTATAAGTCTCGTACAACATTTTAGAGAAGCAGTTTTTCTAGCTCTCGATTATACAATAAGAAAATATTATTATTCTTTTGTTTTTGTTTATTACTATAAGCATGCAAGTTCATTTTAACATTTGCTCTTTATTGTGTTGTATGAAGTACCTATGTAATGCAAGTATGTACTGTACTAAAATACCCATATTTCCACAGTCTCTGCAGAAGCGTCATGAGTAACCTGTGCCTTTACACTCGACAATCCACTGCTGGCTGCTATGAAAAGCTTAACAGGGGAAGAAAAAATAAAATAAAGCTCAAGTATGAATACACTTTCCAAACATACACATACACAGCTTACAATGGAACCACAATGGAAACAAGTCCAATGGCAACATTTGACGTAGTATCTATAAAATGCAGACTCTTGCAATAAAAAGCCAAAGGCACATAAAAATATATTTTAACTTTAAAAATAACTTAGTTACAGTAATACTTTGCTTGTGTCTTACCAACATGTAGCTGACAGTCAAAGTTCTGCAATATGGACATCATATATAGGGATACATAAGAGCTACAAGAAAATCCCCCAAACCCACCAAGTTGTTCGGATGTGAAAACCGAGAAAAGTTTTAACACTGAAGAATCTGCTATGATGAGCCCGAACAACAGATAGAAAAGAATCTAGAAAAAAGGCTTAGAGGTGTTAAATAAATTCTGACTTCCTCTTGCTCAGAAAATGCGGGAGCACTGTCAGGTCCTCGCCGTGACGGGTGCAGCCCTGCGTGGCTAGTGCCATCCTGGTGGGGCAGGTTCCTGTGTCTACAAACAAAAGTGTGAGCTGAACATCAGCCATGCCTGCTGAACGTGGGTTCTCACTGCCTCACTTCCTCTTTCTGCAGGGGCAAGTCTTTTTTTTTTTCTTTTTCTTTTAGCGGTTTTTGCAAATAGGGCATAACAAGTAAAAAAATACTTTATGAACATTATTTTAGAAAACCCATCATGTAACTGCATATATAGCCAGTGAAGCTCTTCTCTTCGCCTGTGGTTTGTGGTGGTGGTGTGATCCTGTCTGGAGGCCTTTTACCCCGGAGGAATTGCTGGAGCTGTCCTGTTACTTATTTTTATCCATGACATTCAGCACCTCATCCAAAAACGAGGGCCCGAGGTCGAGCTGCAGGGAGAGCAGGGAGCCCGTGAGATCGGACAGCGACTCCTCCGACTTAGTCTTTCCCTTGAGGAGCTCGCACGGGGCAGGCTGGTCGAACATGTCCTCGGCTGGCCAGTCGGGGTACTGTTCCGAGAGGCTGGAGGAGTGGCTGTCCCTGCCCTGGCTGGACTGCGACACCGACGCCGAGCCACTGGAGCCCCACGACACGTCCCCCGGGGGGACTGTCCCGTTCTCCAGCAGGCTGCTTTGCTCCGGGGCCTTTTCCTCCGCGACAGGCTCACAGCTCAGCCTGGGCAGCTTGGCTGGCCCAAAGGACTCCTGCTTGGCGCTGAACGTCACCGGCGACAGCAAGGGCAGCATGAGAGCTTGGGAGCCGCCGATGGTGGGCAGGGAGATGGCGTTCTTGAGCACCGGGGAGGGCGTCTCTGTGAACACGGAGTCGGAGGTGCTGTTGGCGCGCAGGAACTCGTGCGCGGGGCACGGGCCCAGCGGCGCCTTCTCGGGGTGCCCGGGCAGCAGCTCGTAGTTGCCCTGGAGGAAGGAGATGTCTCCGAAGACGTCGTGCTGGCCCTCCTTGCCGATGTGGATGGTGTGGCGGAAGTCGCCGAGGGGCGGGCTGATCATGTCCGGGGACAGAATGTCCCTCAGTTTAAATTTCTTTCCTTTCTTGTTATTGGCAGCTTTCAGGTAAATCGGGGTCTTGGCTGGCATTTTGGAACTTGAGAATGTCTCTTGCGAAAGGGAAAAAGGGCCACTTTCTTCACAGAGGGTGGATGTTGCTGGCGACCCTCTGATAGGAACTGTCACACCATCTTTCTCGAGGGGCTTCCGAAGAGGCTGTGAGAGGGCACAGAGGTCGCAGACACCTGCCCGGAGTTACAGCCAAGTGGGGCTTTGGGAAGAGCCGGGTTCAGCATCCAACCCCTTGCGCAGCATGGAGACACCTGGAAAAGAGAGCAGCCAGGCCGTTAGCTGACCCTTCAGGGCCTTTTCCACGCGGGCCTGGAGGCAAGGGCAGGGGCCTTCCCCGCTGAGGCCAGGCTGCTGTTTCCCTCCAAGAAGTAGGATACAACCTTAAACCTTAGCAACGGTCCTCTAATCTTCGTCTTACTTCAGGGGAAAACAGAAATAAAAAGAAGAGAAAGAGAGAGATTAAAAATCCCAAGCCTATGACATCAGCACTTTAGCAACGTGGCCATGGATGAAATTTTCTAGACATGTCTACGATTTTAGTCCTTTTTGTTTGTTTTTTTAATTTAAAAATTGTCATGCATGTTTTTTTGTTTTGTTTTTTTAATCCTCACTCGAGGACATTTTTGCATTTATCTTCAGATAGAGCTGGAGGGAGAGAGGGAGAAAGAGAGAGAAACACCAATGCAAGAGAGACACATCAACTGGTTGCCATCCACACGACCCCAACCGGGGCGGGGACAAACTGCAACCGAGGTACGTGCCCTCAGCGAGAACTAAACCCAGGACTCTCTGGTCCACGGGCTGACTCTCTAACTGCTGAGCCAAACCGGCCAGGGCTCCTTTTCACTTATTACAAGAACTCTGTCAGCACTGGACCAGAGGGGCTTCAGCTCCTCACATACAACGGGATTTGTTTTAAAATACATTTTCTCTGTTGCTTTGACAGTCACACTAGCAAGACTAATCTTCTGTTGTTGAGTTTTGTAGATAAATAAAATTAATGGAAAAAATAAACAGTCCTATACAGGGGGCTAGAAATATCACTTACTAAGTGACAGTGACTACTATATGCTAGTGTCTTAATGAAATGCATTCTTACAGATGAGAAAACTCTAAAACTCTAAAACACACACACTTTTTTAGATAACATAGAGCCAAGAAATGAAAGAGCAGGAGCTGGAATCAAGCTGTGGCAGCAAGACCCGGGCTGGCCAGGACGTCAGGACCTGGAGGCATTCTGAGATGGAAGAAAAAGAACAAGTCTGCTTCTTTTTAAAGGAAAAAGTGTCATACTGAACAGGTTAGATCTTCATTTGGAAATACTTTAGAAACATTTACTGATAAGCTTATATCCTCTCCCAGTGGTAGGCAGAACTCCAAGGTAACCTGGTGATCTGCCTCCTGGTGGGTGGTAAGGCCTTTGTGGGCAAAACCTGTGATTTGCTTCTAATCAACAGAATATGGCAAAGGTGATGGACCATCACACCTCGAATAGGTTACATTATAAAAGATTCCATCTCTGCAGACTGGAGGTGGGACTCCCTTTACTGGTTTTGAACCATGCTGCGAGAGGGCCTCTGGAGATGAATTCTGACAACTGGAGGGAGCCTGAAAGTGGATCTTTCTCCAGTCGAGCCTCAGATGGTACCTGATTCACAGCCTGGCCATGGAGCTGACCCGCAGAAACTGTGAGACATTAAATGGGTATTGTTGCAAGCCATGAAAAATTGGTGGTGATTTGAAAACTAACACAGCCTCCCTGCTCAAGGCTACATCATGAGATCAGAGGTGATGAGCTAAAAGGAGGTTGTCATTTTACAGATGAGAAATCGTCACCCTTGAAAAGCACCCTCCGACTCTTCAGTGGCATCAGCTGACAAGGAAAAGCTTAAACCTCTGGCGCTGAGGGAATTCCTGCAATGGCTCAGCGGCGACCTCTCCCTGTCCGCAGAGCAAGTAAATAAATAACTACTCTGAGGGGTGGGTCAGATGGTGGCTTGAAGACAGCCACACTTGCTCTGTGGCAGCTGGAGGCTGGCTTACATCTGCCCCATATTTCTTTCCTTTCAGCAGAAGTTTTAAATTCATTTCCCTGTGGCAGGTGGCAACAACTTTGCTCCAGCACCCGCTGGCAAGGTGACAACTGGCTCTGTTGGGGAAGCCACTTGCACCCAGGCCTGAGAAGGCAGAGAACTGTGAGCTGGAGAGACTCATCCACCTGGCTGCGGGGAGGAGGCGAGGCAGAATGAAGGGCTTTGCACCCAGACTGGGCTAACCTGGAAGCGGCCCGATAGAACCTTAAAGCCCCGTCTCTCTTGCCCTGGCCAAAGAGTCGCGGGTTTGATTCCGGTCAAGGGCATGTACCTTGGTTGCGGTTTGGTCCCTGGCGCCGAGCCCTCGTGAGGGTCATGCAGGAGGCAATCAGTCGATGTGTCCCTCTCACATCGATGTTTCTCTCTCTTTCTCCCTCCCTCCCTCCCTCCCACTTTACAGTATCTGAAAATAAATGGAAAAATGTCCTCGGGTAAGGATTTAAAAAAAAAAAAAGCCATGTATCTCCAGTTAGAAATGCATGAAGACTTTTTCAAAGAGACGCTTTGTATCAAGCAAGAAGTCTGGGAACCGAATCACAGAAGACCTTCTCTCGCATAGTTTTATCTCTCATTTGGGTCTTGCAGCAGTTATAAGTTTAAACACTGGGTCTTCCTGCTGCAACCTCAGACGTCCCCTCCCCTGTAGGTGCACTGCAGCCTAGGGCCCTGCCACCCAGGGGGGTTGGCACTGACCTCCTGCCCACTGGGCCCAACGCCACGACCGCTTGCAGGAGCAGCTGGGCGCCTTCTGCAGAAGGTGGGGGCAGCCCCAAGGGACAGCTGACTACAGGAGTGGTGTCCACCCACACACAGGCCAGGAGGGCAGCTTCCATGCAAAGATCTAGTGTGTCCACCACCACTCAAGCACATGCTGTCGTCAGCTGGTGGTGCCAGGGTGATGCGAGGCCAGAAACTGAGGCAGGCCGTGGCCCATTAATTAGAAAATGAAAGGCCATCAGGTAGCAGCAGCCAGAGTGCAGTTCTCATAGGATCACTCACACTCACATTCAAAGGTTACCTGAACGGCCAAGGACAGCTAGGGATGCTGAGGAGGGGGAGGAGGAGGGGAAGGAGGAGGAGGAGGAGGGGGAGGGGGAGGAGGAGAAGGGGAGGGGGAGGAGGAGGGGAGGAGGAGGGGGGAAGAGGAGGAGGGAGGAGGAGGGGGGAAGAGGAGGAGGGGGAGGGGGAGGAGGAGGAGGAGGGGGAGGGGGAGGAGGAGGAGGAGAAAACGTTTGCTGTACTCAGAGGGCTCCAGGAGGATCGTCCGCCCAGTCAGCTGTCCGTGCCTGCCCACGGCCACGGCCACGGCCACAGCCACAGCCAGGGGAACTGCAGGCCCCTCGGCAGAGGCTCACTCAGCCTGCGGGGTTTTAGGTCAATGGCATGGACCCAAAGGTGGCAGGGAAGTGACAAAATACAGAGAAAAAAGGGGTTGGTGAGCGTAGGCTTGACAAGCTGCTGGCAGTGAGATCCTGGAGACTGGGAAGGAAGATACCTTAAAAGGCATTTTTCTTTCTTTCTGTAAATATTTACATAGTATTTACTGCACAACAGGGACACAGGCTTCTAGACTTTGGAAACAGTAATTTGTATTGAACTTCTGTTCCAGTGCTAAGAGCTCCCAAATACACGGGATGTTTTTTAAAATGGAATTGCGGCAAAGTGTCGGTTTTACAAGTTTAGATGTTTTCGATGCCATATGGGGGGAATGTCTGAGAGCTCTGACCCTACCCTTCTACCTTATCTGTCATCTTTCCTCCAGCTCAGGGCCAACCATGCCTGATCCCTGGAGAGACAATCTGATATCTCACACTGAGCACTTCCGCCCTCCATTCTGAACATTCTGGGTCCCTCGCTCATCAGCCAGTGGACACCCACGCCCTGCTTCCTTCCCAGGCTGACTGCTCTTTCAGCATCTTCCCTGCCCCTGCTAATGCAGAAACCCGATGGGCAGTTTCTTCACAGGTGACTAAGTGGCTGGTCCTGGGGAGGGTATGTGTGGGTCTGCAGGGAATCGCCAACAGTGACTACGACAGTAAATGTTTATGTGCCGGGCACTGTTCCAACCTCTGACGTGCACTAAGTCACGCACAAGGACCCATGAAGCTGCTCCTGTAACATCCCCATTTTACAGCTGATGCACTGAGGCACAGGCGTCGAGTTGCTTTGCCAAGGCCGCACAGGCACACAGGCAAGTGTCCAGAACCTGAGGTCTCGACACTTGGTGAGCACACTCCTGGGAATTCAGTCAGCTCCCAAGTCATGAAGGGGATGCATTGCAAAGCCTGTTAGGACACAGTGTGTGATGAGGCACTGGGCTGATGAGGGTGGGGACCGGCCTGGCATACACTGATGACATAAGCTCCAACAGGTCTGACTGCAGGAAGTCAGTTGAGCAATATGTACCAAAATTGTATATCTATCTAGTAGTGCCTTTGGCCCTGGAATTCCACTTACAGACATTTATGAAGATGTATCAATTTACGTATATGGGAAATCACTTGTGTACAAAGTTATCAATCCAGCAGTTTGTAACAGCCCAGAGTGGTAAAGAACCTAAACTGTCCAATATATACAGAGGTCTAAAAAATGTCGACACAGCTTTTTATATGCTGATATGGAAAGGACTTCAAAGACATACATCTTCAAAGGAACAAAAGAAAGGCGCAAGGTGTGCCGACACACTTGGGTTGGCTTGTATGTCTGTAAAACACTCTGGAAGCACACACATAACATGACTGCCCACGGGGACGGCACGCAGACGGGGGAATGAGGGTGAGGGAGAAATGTCACTGCATCCTATTTCTTTTAAATCCTCACCCGAGGACATGCTTAGAGGAAGGGGTGGGGGGAGACATCAATTGGTTGCCTTTTGTATGTACCCCAACCAGGACTCGAATCCACAACATAGGTCTGTGCCCAGACCGGGAATTTAATAGGTAACCTTTCAGAGTATGGGATGATGCTCCAACCAACAGAGCCTCTCAGGCTGGGCAGTATATCCTTTTTTTTAATTCTCATCCGAGGACATTTTTTTCCATTTTTTGTTCAGATAGAGTGGGAGGAAGAGAGAGAGAGGCCAGGGACAAACTGCAACCGAGGTACGTGCCCTTAGCGGAAACCGAACCCAGGACTCTCCGGACCGCAGGCCGACGCTC